GTCATGGGCCGTCATTGGGACATCTTGGGGCCATCTTGGGCTCTCTTAGGGCCATCATCACCGTCTTGGAGGCCATCTGGCGCGTGTTGGAGGCCACGTTGGGACCATGTTGCGGGGGGGGGCCAATGGAGAACAAATGTTCGGCGGCTCTCCGGGTGGCCGTCGCGACCGGCCAGGACCCCACTGAAACATTCCAACATGTGTCACGCCGTGCACAATTGTGGCAAGCCACAGGGGGCGGCGGAGTGAAGACGTTTACGGCGAATCACCGCCGCCCCCTTGCCTTTTGGAAACGCCCACGCGGCCACACGCTGGGCCGAAGTCTGGCGAAGCTATTGGAAAATGTGTTCCCCAAGACGTTGTGGAACCCCATGGGGGCGAGCACTTAGGAGAGTAAAAGAAGGCAGAAGAAAGAGGAGGAGAGGGAGGAGAAAGAGGAGAAAGAGGAGGAATAGGAGGAAGAAGAAGAAGAAGAAGAAGAGGAGGCCGCTTGAGGCCTTCGTGGGGCCTCCTGGGGGCTTCCTGGGAGCCTCTTGGGAGCCTCTGAGGGGCGTCCTGTGGCCTCTTGGGGGGCCTACTGGGGTGTCCTGGAGGTCTCTGATGGGTTTCTTGGCCTTCGGAGGCCGTCTTGGGGCGCTCTCTGGGCAGTCGTGGGTCCTTTTGCTTCAGGGCTGTCTTGGAGGTCTATGGGGCCGTCTTGAGGGCCTTTTGGGAGCCTCTTGGGCTCTCTTTGCGCCGTCTTGGGGCGATCTCTGAGGCCTATGGGGCCGTCTTGGAGCGTCGGAGGCCAGAAAATGTGAGAACCCTAAAGTAGTTTAAGAGTCGAAGGAACATCAACGGTGTTGGCACACTGCAGGTCCTCTGGGAGCCCTCTTGGGGCGTCTTTGGGGCCTCTTGAGCCGTCTGGAAGGCATCTTGGGCAGTCTTAGGGCCGCCTTGGAGGCGTAGTGGAGGCCATCTTGGGCTCTCTTCGGACCATGTCGGGGCCGTCTTGGAGGCATTTGAGAGGCCATCTTGAAACAATACTGGCCGCGTTGGAGGCGAGGTTTCTGGCTTGTCCCCTTCGTGCGCGTCCTTGCACCTCCTTCCTGGTGTCTGGCGCATTAGGCCGAAAGCCCATGGCAACTTTGACAAAGGACCAGAAACTACCTAACGTTTGGCACGCCGTGCACCCTTGTGGCAAGCCAACGGGGCGGCGGATCGAAAACGCATACGACGAATCACCGCCGCCCATTGCCTTTTTGCGAAGCGCCTCTGTGGCCACTCGTTGGGCCCCAGCTTGGCCAGGCTATCGGACTTTGTATTCCCCCAGCCGTTGTGGAAGTTCTTCGGAAAACGTTTGAGGGAGGAGGGGGGGGAGGATAAGGAGAGGCAGGAAGAGGAGGAGAAGGAGGAGGAGGAGGAAGAGGCCTCTTGGGAGCCTCTTGGGGCACTCTTGGGACCTCCTGGGAGTTTCCTGGGGCCCTTGCCGTGCACTTTTGTGGCAAGACCAAGGGGTCGGCGGGTCTCTTCCAAGGTGGGCCAGCGGCAGGGGGTAGGAGGAGGGGTAAACCCTTCCCCCGTGCAAGGGAAGGAGGGAGCTTCGGCAGAGAGAAGACAAGTCGTTAACCACTTACGCCCAGAGGGCTGGCGGGACTGCTGCATCATAAAAAATCATGTAATGGTTCCCTGTTTTCGTTGCACCGCCTACTTGCATAGAAGCCATCCGTTACCCAGTCGCTTTTGCTGACTATAGTTCACCCGTCTCCACATTCGGCGTATCAGCCGCTCGGGGTGTTAGACTATAGCGTTTCGACTGGGTGGGCAGGATGATGCAGTGAGAGGGACGCCCTCCGGAGTCGATCATCCGTCTGAAGATGTGTTGCGCACAGTTTTGGGTCCAAGGTCAATCTGCCTCCAGGAAAGAAGGCCCCCCTAACATACTTCCAGGGGAAAGGCGGGGAAGGGGAAAGGAGGGGGGCAAACACGATGAGGGAAGACTCGTATCCACAAATTGTCTGCCCGCGTTGGGGACGAGAGCATCAATCGAAACGGCGAGAGCACAGCGCCGACCCTAAGAAGAGGCCAGCGCTGCAGCGGCAAAACAATTTCGAGACAGACACCAGAAACGCCCCGCTTGAAACAGGTCAAAGAGAAGACCAGTGTTTGACATCCTGTGCGTTACAGACAGCACGCGGAGGCGGGCGGACGACTCCCCGGCCATGTTCGGCGAGAAAGGGGAGTTGTATTCGTAGTGAGTTGCTGTGGGATAAGTTTGTCGTCCCGCCCTTTTTCCTGCACTTTCCTGTAGCGCCGACCTCCGAACCCAGCCTGGCCCATGACCGAGTGACAGAGCAATGTAATAACAATGAGAGAGGCGGGCGGCCAGGGCGCCCACCAATCCGACGCCCCTGCAGAGGGCGAGGACGTGCAAATGGTACTGCCCGTCGGCCTGGAGAGGCTGCTTCCCTTGATGATCGTCTGCTGTTTAGATGTCAAGTGCTTGCACGGGCCAAACAGCTGAGGAATGGCCTTGGCACCAGACGTGTGCAAACCGCACCTGTTACAAAAAAGGACGGGCGTGCAGTGTTTGGTGGTCCGCGCCTCAAACCAGAGATAGTTGTTGAAGGATTCGCCACCAAGCAAAGCACGCATGGTGGAGGTGAGGACAGCGCGCTGGCCGCAGGCCATCGATGGGTCTCGAAAGCGCGTATTGTAACCAGCGCACATCTACCTGACACCGTCACAGGTTAAAACGTGACACACCACCTGAGAGGAAACAACACGAGGGCCCTTGGGATCCTGTCAAGGTCGCCACAAACCCCGCCCCATCCTTTATCCTGCCCCGTCCTCTCCTCATCCTCCTACTCCACTCCCCCATCCTCGTCCCCCTCCTCCTCTCTTTGTCTTCCTCTGCTGCTCAAGCCGCCGCAATCGACCGCGGCCATTATTGTTCAAGCCTTCTTGGCTTCGGACCCTTGGAGACTTCACAGGTGACGCGCGAGGGGAGCGGGGGGCCGCAATCCCTTTCTGGCGCCCGGGCCGCAGAGAAGTCCACGGAGGCGCCAACTATCCAACAACGCCGACCCTGGCCCCCAGGAGGAGCCGTGTATAAGAAGAAGCGTCTTCTGAGAACGTTGGGAGGAAGTCGGGGGGGGGAGGGGGGTTCCGAACCGCCCCTTGATCTCTCCAATGTGAAAGTCGAAGGGGGGTCCAAACCCACCACTTGGGCACCAGCGATGGCGATTGCGACGACGCCGAGCGTGCGCAAACGACGACGGCAACGGCGGGGACGGTGATGGTGACGACGGCGATGGCGACGGCGACGCCCAGCGCCGGTAGACGACGACGACGACGACGACGCCGACGACGACGACGACAACGACGACGACGACGACGATGCCGACGCCGACGCCGACGCCGACGCCGACGCCGACGCCGACGCCGACGCCGACAACGACGACGACGACGACGACGAGTACGACGACGTGTCCCGCCCGCCCACCCGACCGATTTCCCCACGACGACGATGACACGTGTCCCGCCCGCCTGCCCGACCGATGGACTCGCTGGCAAACAACGACGCCGAAGACGACGACGACGACGACGACGACGACGACGACGACGACGAGAACAACGACGATGTAGACGACGACGAAGACGACGACGATCACAACAACGTTCACGTGTCCCGCCCGACGACGACGACGGCGAAGACAACGCCGGCACGCGACGACGACGACGACGACGACGACGACGACGACGACGACGACGACGACGACGACGACGACGGCGGCGGCGACGACGACGACGTCGACAACGGCGACGACGACGACGACGACGACGTCGACGTCGAGGACGACGACGACGACGACGACGACGACGACGACGACGACGACGACGTCGACGTCGACGACGACGACGACAACGAAGACGACGACCACGTGTCCCGCCCGACGACGACGACGACGTCGACGACGGCACACGACGACGACGACGAGGACGACGACGACGACGACGACGACGTTTCCCGCCCACCCGCCCGACCGACTTCCCCACGACGACGTCGACGACGTATCCCCCCGCCTACACGACCGATCGATTCGCCGGCAAGCAACGACGCCGAAGACGACGACGACGACGACGACGATGACACGTGTCCCGCCCGACCGACTTGGCCACGACGACGTCCACGACGTCGACGACGTGTCCTGACCGACTGACAGACGCGCCAGCAAACGACGATCACGACGACGACGACGACGATGACGACGACGACGACGCCGCGAGGGGGAGGGGGGTTTACCCCCGCCGACTTTCGGAAGGGGGTGGGAGGGGGGGTTCGGGGAGTATCGCCGAAGATGGGGGCGGCGGGGCGGTGGCAGAGAGGAGAGGAGGGGAAGGAGTGATGGGATTTGTTGCTGGGAGTTTGCAACAATAAAGCGTACGCAGAAGGCGCTCCCTCGTGTGTGAACCCACCCCTTTTGGATTGGCCAGACAGATGGATACACGCCGATCCCCACTTTCGACCTGGCAAGGAGCGGTATATGTGGACAGTTGGCGCCAGCCGAAGAGAGGAGGCCCTCGTCACGACCATCAGTCCAACGTCCCCCTCTACTCCTTCCAGAAGGAGGAGTCGAAGGCAGATAGAGGCCCCATCCTGCCAAGTCGATTTGCGAGCTGCCTTTTTCGATTCTCGATCCTAGAAGACCGAAGGGTCGGGGTTCCGGGGAGCGCTCTTGTCCCCTGTCTGGGCCTCCGGAAGCTTCCGGAAGTCTCTGGAGGCCTCCGAGAACCCCATCTTCGTCAAGGGGGGTGATGATGGTGAGAAGGAGGAGGATGAGGAGGAGGAGGAGGAGGAGGAGGAGGGGCAGAGGGAAGGAGGCGGCAGCGGGGAGGAAGCGGAGGAGGGGCAGGAGGAGCCGCAGCAGGAGCAGGAGGAGGGCGCAGAGGGACAGAGGAGGATGACGGTCGTAGCGAGTGCCTCTCAGCAGATGGTCGGCGGGAGGCCCGCGGGTGGGATGCAGGACCTCCCACATCGCCTTCTCCTCCGCCTCCGTCTCCTCTTCCTCCTCCTTCTCCCTTCTCGTCCTCATCATCCTGCTCTCCTCTGCCTCTCCTCCCCCTTCCTTCTCCCCCTTCATTCCCCTCGTGCTCCTTCTTCTCCCCCTTCGTTCTCCACCTCCGCCCTCCTACCCCCTCCCCCCGACTCTCCCTCCCATCCTCCTCCCCCCTTCTCCTCCTTTTTTCTCCCTTCTCCTTCCCCCTCCTGATCCCTGTCTTCTCCTCATCATCATCGTCATCCTCCTCCTCCTCCTGGGAGGACCTCCTCGGGGCGCCGCTGCAGCCGGGCTGCGACATCTACTCGGCCCCCACAGCAGAGCCGGGAAAGACCGTGGACCTGCCCGGGGCTCGGCGGATGAAGGAGGAGCGGGTAGGGGGTTGGGGGAGGAGAAGGCGGAGAGAGAGAGAAGGCGAAGGAGGGAGGAGGGAGGAGGGAGGGGGAAGCGAGGAGAGGAGGGGGAAGGGTGGGGGATGGGAGGAATATCATCCTCCTCATCCAACTCCTCCGCCTGGTAGGGGGAGGGGTTGGAGGGGACAGGAGTCCACAAACAATCGTGGTGTTGCCATTTTTTAGGAGTGGTGTGATACAGCTATCCTGGCAAGATACAGACAACAACTGAAAGTTGTAGAGACACCAAGTTTGTTCGTGGAGACCATGGGCGACACATTTGAAACGCACTTGCGCCACGCCCCGTGCACAGAGAAGGGGAGTCTTCGCAATGCACGTTTTCAGCTTTGGTGTTCAGCGCTGGTGGCTTGAATTCTGCAGTGAAGCGTTGTCACACCCTGGACTCGGAGACGAGGGATGATTGTTGCCAGGTCGCTGTGTTCGCCATCTTGTCTGGAATACACGACCATTGCCAGTTGCATCCGAAATGTGGTTTATAAGTTTGCGTATGCGTAGCCCGTGCGACTTGGTTCACAGCCATCGGTACAGTTGATTGTGTTCAAAACTCTACGGAGCTCTGGCCACCACTTACATTCATGTGAGTGCGCCAATCGGGAGGTCAATCAGGATGACAAGAGCTGTGAATTTCTGGCGACGGCTGCATTCGCCAGGGGCTGTCTTCGCCCGGGCTGGATCCGCCGACGGCTGATTTCACCAGGCTGGCTTCGCTCAGCAGTTCGTTTCGCCGACCTCCCGCCAGCTGAAACCATCGCAAAACCAGCCGCCGTCGAAGCCAGCCGCTGGCGAAACCAGCCCCGGCGAAACCTGCCGCCGGCGAGACCAGCTGCTGGCGAAACCATCCCCCAGCGAAACCAGCCGCCGGCGAGACCACAGCCGCTGGCGAAACCAGCCCCCAGAGAAACCAGCCGCAGGCGAAACGAGCCATTGGCGAAACCAGCCGCCAGTGAAGCCAGCAGCCGGCGAAACCAGCCCCAGCCCCAGCAAAACCGGCACCACCAGCCGCCAGCGAAAGCAGCCGCCGGCGAAAGCAGCCCCGGCGAAACCACCCGCTGGTGAGACCAGCCGCAGGCGAAACGAGCCATCGGCGAAACCAGCCGCCGTCGAAACCAGCCGCCGGCGAACACAGCCCCAGCAAAACCGGCACCACCAGCCGCCGGCGAAACCAGCCGCCGGCGAAAGCAGCCCCGGCGAAGCCAGCCGCTGGCGAGACCAGCCGCTGGCGAAACCAGCCCCCAGCGAAACCAGCCGCTGGCGAAACGAGCCGTTGGCAAGACCAGCCGCCGGAGAAACCGGCCGCCGACGAAACCAGCCGCCAGCGAAACCAGCCTTGGCGAAACCAGCGCCAGCGAAACCAGCCGCCAGCGAACGCAGCCGCTGGCGAAACCAGCTGCCGGCGAAACAAGCCGTTCGCGAAACCAGCCGCCAGCGAAACCAGCCCCGTCGAAACAAGCCCTAGCGAAACCAGCCGCCAGCGAAACCTGCCCCGGCGAAACCAGCAACTGGCGAAACTTGCCCTGGCGAAACCAGTCGCCGGCGAAACCAACCGCGGGAAAAACCAGCCGTTGGCGAAATTAGCCGCCAGCGAAACGAGCCGCCGGCGAAACCAGCCGCTGGCGAAACCAGCTGCCAGCGAAACCAGCCGCTAGCGAAAGCAGCTTCCGGAGAAACCAGCCGCCAGCGAAACCAGCCGCCGGGGAAACCAGCCGCCAGCGAAACCAGCCACCGACGAAACCAGCCACCAGCTAAACCAGCCGCCAGCGAGACCAGCCGCCAAAAGACCAGCGGCCAAAAGACCAGCCGCCAGCGACACCAGCAGCCGGCGAAACCAGCCGGCGAAACCAGCCGCGCTGTCGAAACCAGCCGCTGGCGAAACCAGCCGCTGGCGAAACTAGCCGTCAGCGCCACCAGCCGCCGGCGAAACCAGCCGCCAGCGAAACCAGCCGCCGGCGAGACCAGCCGCGGGCGAAACCAGAAGCCGGCGAAACCAGCCGCCGTCGAAACCAGCCGCCGTCGAAACCAGCCGCCGGCGAAACCAGCCGCCAGCGAAACCAGCCGCCAGGGAAACCAGCTGCCGGCGAAACCAGCCGCCGGCGAAACCAGCCGCCGGAGAAACCAGCCGCCGACGAAACCAGCAGTTTATCCTCCTCCCCCTCCTCCTCCTCCTCCTCCTCCTCTTCCTCCTCCTTCTCCTTCTCCTCCTCCTCCTCCTCCTCCTCCTCCTCCTCCTCCTCCTCCTCCTCCTCCTCCTCCTCCTCCCCCACCTCCAGTGTACCAAGCCCCCCCTGCCTGATTGCACAGCACACGATAGGGTCATTTTGAGGAGCAAGGTCATCTGGGGCACCCCAGGAAGCAGTTCAGCGCAATGGAAAGGGATAGGCGAAAGGGGTAGGAGTGTTTGATGTGGCGGCGGGAGCGCACACAGCTTGCCTCCACTCCCCTCTCCCTCCCCCCCTTTCTTTATCTTACCCCCCCTCCTAAGAACCCTCCACCCCTACCCCTGCTCAGTGATCCGATGTGTTGATTTGTGCAAGACGGGATCCCCAGAAGATCCGACCTTTCTCCCAGGAGTGGTGTTTCATCCCGAACTGCTTTCTGACAGTCCTGGGGCCCAGCGAGGGCCCCTGGAGGCCGAAAACGGCCCAAAACCTCCCGTCGTGTTTGCTTCACGACGCGAGCATGTTTGGGCACCCCTCTCCTTGACCCCCCCCCCCCCCCCCCCCCGTGCCCCGCCCCCCCCCCCCTTCCCAGTCCCACGCGCGATCGCCACGGGCCGCCGAGGTCTGGGGCCTCCAGCATATCGGCGCATCGCCCACCAGGAAGGGGAAGGGAGGGGGGGGGAGGCCAGGAGGAAGAGGGGGAGCCGAGCGGAAGGACGACAAGGACTTTGTTGGCCGGACAGAGACCAAACGCAAGCGTGAAGGCCAGCTTAGAAGGACAAAGAGCCAGCGACGGGACTCTAACGGAGTCGCCCGAATCGCTGGCTTCGCGAAGGTCAGCAAGCTCATCCCAGTAGGCCGTCGCGGCCTGGGAGTTTGGAGGCCGCGTGCGAGGACGATAAGGAGCAGAAGGGGCGAAGAGGAGGAGAAGGAGGAGGAGGACGAAGAGGAGCACCAGGTGGAGTAGGGGAGTAGGGTGTCAGCGTTGGACCACCACTGGCGATCTGGAGAGAAGGGGGGTGGGGAGGCAGACGGGGGAGGACGGTCGGCGGCGGAGGGGAGGTGGAAGGTGGATGAAAAGGAGCGGGGCGAAGACGAGCCAGGGCAGGAAAAAGGTGAGGGGCGCAGAAGGAGGCAGAGGGGAAGGGGCAGGAGGGGGAGAAGGAGAAGGAAGATAAGCAGCAGGGCGGACCGAGGAGGAATAGGATGAGCAGCAGCAGCAGCAGCATCAGGAGGAAGAGAGAGAGAGAGAGGGAGAGTAATGAGGAGGGGAAGGAGGAGAGAAGGAAGGAGAGGAGAAATAAGAGAGGAGACGAGAGGAAGGAGGAGAGGGAAGGAGGGGAGTGAAACAACGGGGGTGGACGAGATGGAGACGGAAGAAGGACAGGAGGATGATGGTGATGGACAGATGTGCGCGTGGAGGAGGAGGAGGAGGAGGAGGAGGAGAAGAAGGAGAAGGAGGAGGAGGAGGAGGAGGAGGAAGAAGAGGAGGAGGGGGAGGAGGAGGACTGCCAGGTACGCTATAGGCTTTGAAGGCACCTAGAACCCATCTTTAAGGATGAGGCGACCATCAGAACCCTGGTCAGGGTGATTGCGGTTTCCCACTCACCCGCTGCCCAAAGCAGCATGCCCATGCAGAAAGGGAGTTGCAAAGGCTCTAGGAGGTCTCATCCTTAAAGTCTTGAGGATGGCAGAAACCAATCCTTTGAGTCAAATGGTTTCCGGGGATTTTAACGCATGGGGGATGAGTGTTATGAATGGGCTAGGTGGCCACTGACGTGGTACGTCCCCCACGGTTTCTGAACTCTCCCCGGCTTGGTTTCGGCCATCCTCGGAGACGACAGCCGGAAGGGCTGCTCAGGTGCGCGGGAGAGGCTTCGCGCAAGTGATGCAGATTGCTTCGGAGGTGCGTACTCCTGCATCCTCGGGGGCCTTGCGCTTGAACTTGCCGCCGCCGCTGCCTGTGTGGGGCTGGAAGCCCCCTCCACGCTGCTCTTCATGGTAGGGTCCGCGGCGGCGCCAGCCTCCGCTGTGGCGTTCGCGCGGCGCCATGGGCGGGGCACCTGGCGTGCCCGTGCCCACTTCTGCGCCGCCCGTCCACTCGTTCATGCTGTTGTAGGTGTGGACGGTGCCGCGGTTTAGGGGCCCGCTCGGGCCCTTGCCCTTTCCTTTGTCCTGCCCCTTGCCCGCTCCTTTGTGCAGGCGGCCAATATGGCCGGTTGAGAACGGGAGCCTGCGAAGGCCTAGGGAGTTTGGGAGCCTTTGTGGCCGCTTGCCCCTCCGCTTCGAGCTGCGGGCAATGGGGTCCACGGTTACAAGCGTAGCCGCCCGGGCTGTGCACAAATTGCCCACTGCAAGCCGAATGCGGGCAAGGGCCAACAAAGGCCGAGCGGGCGCTCGGGCTGCCGGGTCCCTGCATACTCACTGTGGTAAAGCAGACGGTGCTGACACAGTGGACGCTAAGCTTGAGCCAGAACGCTACAACGGCGGGGACAACAGACCCCCCTTGCACGCAGCGCCAGCCGAGGGGGACCGACAGAGAGTCACAATGCGGTACCGCATCAATTAACTGGGTACCCGGGGGGGCACGATTTGTCCGCTCCTGGGGGCGCCTCAATCTTGAACAGAGGGCGCTCGTGCAGCGTGCGATTGTGGGAGGCCAGGCACGCACCACGCATGCGTTAGTGGATGGGTCGGCCTGCCGGACTGCAGGGCACAGAAACCACACACAAACACACACAATTTGTTATCGCAATGAGTGCAACAATGTGGGGCCCAGCCCATCGGCCACGCGGCCGGGACACGATAAATGTGACGTCTTCTTGGCTTGCACCGCATAGCTCGCATTACACACGCGACAGCGTACAATATCCTCGTTATACAATGCAGCGCCCAGGCCTGGAGCAAACGCTGGGGCCCTTGGGCGCGGCACGGTTTCCGCCGCGCCCTGGCAGGGCCCCCACAAACTGCAACAAATCGTGCGCCCCCAGACTGGAGGGCTCGAGGCGTAGCACCGCATGCAGTCCTACGCAAACTTCTCCCCCCGTGCGCGGGGGGGAGGAGGCGGGAAAGTCTTCGTCCGGACCTCCGTACGCGTCCAGACCGTACTATGACGAGGGGGGGTTGGCCTGGGGTGTCAAGCCCCCTCTGCACTCGAAACCGAGGCAGGATTGGGAAGATCATGCGAGGGAAGGGCAGGGGGGAATGGTGAGGGCAGGACTGCCGACATTGCCGCCGGGCTGTGCCCTGGAGGTCAGCACCTCAGATGTGCGATGGGGGGTGAAAGCAGGACCGCCGGCACTGCCGCTGGGTTGTGTCCTGGAGGTAGATACTTCTGGATTCGCGCGTGGGATGGCAGCAGGACCGCCGGCATTTGCGCGGGGCTATGTCCTGGAGGTCACTGCGTCTGGTGTGCGTGTGCTGAGTAGGAGCAGGACCGCTGGTCTCGCCGCCGGGCTGTGTCCTGGAGGCCAGCACCTCTGATGTGCAGTGGGATGGCAGCAGGACCGCCGGCATTTGCGCCGGGCTATGTCCCGGAGGTCAGTGCCTCTGGTGTGCGAGTGTTGAGTGGGAGCAGGACCGCCGGCCTCGCCGCCGGGCTGTGTCCTGGAGGGCGATGCCTCTATGGTGTACGAGTGTGGAATGAGGGCAGGACTGCCGGCATTGCCGCTGGGCTGTGTCCTGGAGGTCAGCACCTCAAATGTGCGAGTTGGGGTGAAAGCAGGACCGCCGGCATTGCCGCCGGGCTGTGTCCTGGAGGTCAACACCTCTGGTGCTCGCGCGTGGGATGTCAGCAGGGCCGCCGGCATTTGCGCCGGGCTATGTCCTGGAGGTCAGTGCCTCAGGTGTGCGAGTGGTGAAGCAGGACCGCCGGCCTTGCCGCCGGGTTGTGTCCTGGAGGCTAGCACCCGTGCTGGCCTCTTGCCACTGTCGCCCCGCTACTCACTCCTCCAGGGTCTCGGCTGGGGTGCTCGTCGGGCGTGGCAAACCCACATCCTTAGTGGCGCCCCGTGCGTCCCCAGCCGATTCCCCCAGAAGGACAACAGACCCCCCTTGCACGCAGCGCCAGCCGAGGGGGACCGACAGAGAGTCACAATGCGGTTCCGCATCAATTACTGGGTACCCGGGGGCCCCACGGGGGCACGATTTGTCCGCTCCCGGGGGCGCTTCAATTTTGAACAGAGGGCGCTCGTGCAGCGTGCGATTGTGGGAGGCCGGGCACGCACCGCGCATGCGTTAGTGGATGGGTCGGCCTGCCCAAGCCCTGTCGGACTGCATGGCACAGAAACCACGCACACACACACACACACAATTTGTTATCGCAATGAGTGCAACAATGTGGGACCCATGTTATCGGCCACGCGGCCGGGACACGATAAATGTGACGTTTACCCGGCCTGCACCGCATAGCGTGCATTACACACGCGACACCGTACAATATCCTCGTTATACAATGCAGCGCCCAGGCCTGGAGCAGAGGCTGGGGCCCTTGGGCGTGGCACGGTTTCCGCTGGGCCCTGTCAGGGCCCCCACAAACTGCAACAAATCGTGCCCCCCCAGACTGGAGGGCTCGAGGCGTAGCATCGCATGCAGTCCTACGCAAACCTCTCCCCCCGTGCGCGGGGGGGAGGAAGCGGGGGGGAGGAGGCGGGAAAGTCTTCGTTTGGACCTCCGTACGCGTCCAGACCGTACTGTGACGAGGGGGGTTTGGCCTGGGGTGTCAAGCCCCCTCTGCCCTCGAAACCGAGGCAAGATTGGGAAGATCATGCAAGGGAAGGGCAGGGGGGAAGGGGCTTGCAACCAACCTAATATTTAACCGAAATGTAAATAGAATTGGACACAGCACTTAATATACCATTTCTGGTGTGTGAACGTTGAGTGGAAGCAGGACCGCCGGCATGACCACCGGGCTGTGTCCTGGAGGACAATGCCTCTATGGTGTACGAGTGTGGAATGAGGGCAGGACTGCCGGCATTGCCGCCGGGCTGTGTCCTGGAGGCTAGCACCTCTGATGTGCGATTGGGGGTGAAAGCAGGACCGCCGGCATTGCCGCCGGGCTGTGTCCTGGAGGTAGATACCTCTGGATTCGCGCGTGGGATGGCAGCAGGACCGCCGGCATTTGCGCGGGGCTATGTCCTGGAGGTCACTGCCTCTGGTGTGCGTGTGTTGAGTGGGAGCAGGACCGCCGGTCTCGCCGTCGGGCTGTGTCCTGGACGGCGATGCCTCTATGGTGTACGAGTGTGAAGTGGAGGCAGGACCGCCGGCGTTGCCGCCGGGCTGTGTCCTGGAGGTCAGCACCTCAAATGTGCGACTGGGGGTGAAACCAGGACCGCCGGCACTGCCGCCGGGCTGTGTCCTGGAGGTCAACACCTCTGGTGCTCGCGCGTGGGATGTCAGCAGGGCCGCCGGCATTTGCGCCGGGCTATGTCCTCGAGGTCAGTGCCTCAGGTGTGCGAATGGTGAAGCAAGACCGCGGGCCTGGCCGCCGGGTTGTGTCCTGGAGGCTAGCACCCGTGCTGGCCTCTTGCCACTGTCGCACCGCTATTCACTCCTCCAGGGGCTCGGCTGGGGTGCTCGTCGGGTGTGGCAAACCCACACCCTTAGTGGCGCCCCGTGCGTCCCAGCCGATTCCCTCAGAAAAGTCTGGAGCAGCATCGGCACGGGGAGGAGGAGGAGGAGGAGGAGGAGGAGGAGGAGGAGGAGGATGGGGAGGGAAGGAGGATGAGAAGCAGGGACATGAGTTGGACGCGGGGGGGGAGAGGAGAAAGAGGTGGAACAGTGTAAGCCCAAGATGCATCAATGATGTTGCAAGAAAGCCTACCTCCAAGTTCCCATGGGCCCCTAAGAACTTATCTTAAGTGCCTCGTTGGAAGACAACCGTATGAGAATTCTCACTCGTCCCAGAATATCCTCCCTGGGACTTCAATGCAGCGAATCAACGTGCCTGTTGCGTCCTGACGACCATTGATGCCCGAACGCCATCCTCGGGACTTCCACACCGCGAATCATCACGACTGCTGCGATTGCTGCGTCCTGGCAATCCTGAATTGCGCCAGAACACCATTCCTGGAACAACAGCCATGCGAATCCGTTGAGCTGCTGCGAAATTCAATAAAAATGGTGCGCGGCGTCGAGGCGAGAGCCACATGTTGAAAATGAGCCGCCCTGAAATTGCTGGAAACTTGTAAGACGATTGTGCGCGGCGCTAGGGCGATAACCACATTCTGAAATGGAACCTCCCTCCATGCTTTCACCTGTTGCATTTGAAAGACGACTGCGCGCGGCGATCAAGCAAGAGCACCGCTCTGAAAACAGACCGGATTCAATGCAAAAGGTTGTTGTTGAAAGTTTTCAAGGCGCATGTGCACGGCGCGAAGGCGAGAGTCACATTTTGAAAATAAGCCGCCCTTCATCATTCCAACTGTTGCAAATTTCCGGCTCCGGGATCCAAGATGGTGAGAAAGTCTCAGGCGAAGCGCCCGGCCCGCGCTACCGATACATCTGGGGGGGCTACAGGGAGGAGCTGCTTTGAAGAAAAAGCGGTATGGAGGAGGAGGAGGAGGAGGAGGAGGAGGAGGAGGACGGGACGGAGGAGGACGCCACGAGGGAGATGGAGACGAAGGGGTCAGGAAGCAGGAGGGAGGCGAGGGCAGGGGGGCGGGGGACAAAAGAGAGAAGGAGGACGTGGAGGGCAGGCGGCGGCGCGGCCAACGCCAGCTCCGGCGGCGGTTACGCCGGGGGCCCGCCGCCAAGCGCGTACGGCGGGAGCCCGTACGGCGGCGGCGGCTTCGGCAATGGGCCCGCGCCCCTCGGGCCGGGCTCCCGGGGACCATCGAGCATCGAGGGGGTCCAGGCATCCCAAACAGGGGGCCCTGAGCACTCAGACCCCCTCGCGTCGCGAAAAGCCATGACGGAGAGTTTCGAGCCATTTTCGAGGTATTAGGGCCCTCAGCGGGCCCCGGGACCGTCAAAAAATTACAGGGGATGGAAATTTGGTCTTTGGGAAGGGGTCCAGACCTCTGGAGATCCACGTCGCGAAAACATCATGACCTCGGGGGTCTGGGGAGCAAGCGGGGGTTGGAGGGTCGCGCCGCATCGCCGACGCATCAGCGTTGCGGCGCGGTCCAGGGTCCCGTTTTCTCTTTCCTCAGCCTCGCTGGTGCATCGCCAGTGCATCGGCAGTGCATCGGCGGTGCGGCGCGAGCCTCCGACCACACCCGCTCTGGCTCCATTTGGGAGGCCTCCAGGGGGGCGGCGGGGCTGGACTGTCGCTGAGCGGGCTGTCGCCGGCCAACATCGTGAGGCAGCTGGGCTCTCGGCCGATCACCGAGTTGGTCGCGGAGCAGTCGCGGAACATCGCGAGCTTGCCTCGCGTCGCTGCCCGCGTCTACCAGTCGGCGGCGCGGCGCTACTTGCGGCCTTGGAACGAGTTCGCGCGAGTGAGCCCTGGCCGCGTTCTGCAGGGCTTCCGCAACGCCTCCCGGAGGGGGGAGATACAGATCCACGTGCAGCGGAACGTGCTTGCGAACGCCAAGGCGTTCAGGGCAGCGAAAGCCGCAGGGATATTGGGATTCGACCTCCTCCTTTCCCACTCCTCTTCCTCCTCCTCCTCCTTCTCCTTCTCCTTCTCCTTAGTATCATCATTATCATCCTTATCATCATCATCATCCTCATCATCATCATCAGCATCATCATCATCATCAAAACATCAGCATCAGCATCAGCATCATCATCATATCATCACCAGCATCATCATAATATCATCGTCGTCATCATCATCCTTTTCCTCTCATATTATGATGATGGCTGCGGACACTCCGTCTCCGCTCGAAAGGGCCGCCGCCAGTCCCGAGCGCGATACCCAGGGGGGCGGCAGCAGCAGGGCAGGGCCAAATCAGAAGCCGCACGGCCCGATTAGGGCCCCCTCCCCGCACGGAGCAGGAAGGTTGCTCCCTTGCCCCCACCTTGCTGATGCCGGCCCCTTGCTCTCATCCTCCTCCACCGTCCCGTCCCGTCTTTCCTCGATCCCTCCCCACATGAATAAGTCCTCCTTGCCATACCCACAGACGCGCAGCTCGGGCGGGCTGGGCGTTTCGCCTGATCTTTCCGCACCATATATGACCCTGAAGATTGGAAGTTGCATCAGCTTCCAAGTTGGAGCACAGATCGTTTTCAAAATGTGGACCTCGCCCCAGCGCGGCGCACATGCGTCTTGAAAGTTCGCAGCCGCTTCACGAACGGAGGTGGATCGTTTTCAAATTGTGGTTCTCGCCTTAGCGCCGCGCACATTCACATCAAGTTCTGGCAACAAATACAAGGATGAAACACATGTCGTTCTAAAAGTGTGGTTCTCACCATAGCGCCTCGCACATTCGTTGCAACATCTTGCAATAGCTTCGCGGATTGAAGTGGGTCGTTTTCAAAATGGTGTTATCACGTCAGCTACATGTACATTCGCGTTTGAAAGCTTGCAACCGCTTCGAGAACGGAATTCAGATGTCGTTCAAGACGTCGTTCTCGCCGCAGAGCCACGCACATGCGTTTCTAAATCTTGCAACAGACCAGATGCAAGCATGGAGCACAGGTTTCGTTCAAAATGTGGTTCTCGCCTTAGCGCCTCGGACATTCGTCGTACAGTTTTGCGACAGCTTCAGGGATTGAAGGATGCCTTTTCAAATTGATGCTCTTACCTCAGCTCCGCGCACATTCCTCTCAACTTGCTACAAAAGTTTGAAGGATGGAGCTGTTCCTGTTCACAGTGGGCACATTCCCCTCCAATACCCTCCAAAAGGATTGAGCACAGGTCGTTTTCGAAATGATGCTCTCGCCTCAGCGCCGCGCACTGTGGCTTTCTGCCTTCAACATTTAGAAGCATGGAGTTTTGTTTTCAAAATTGGGTCCTCGCTTGGGGCTTCGTCGGTTTAATCGAGTCGAGCTTCAACATTCTAGCAATGCCCGGATCCCCGGCGGCCCTTTTTCGAAATGGAGTTCTTCATCTCGAAGTTCCAGCCCTCAAGTGCGAAGTTGTACAACAGCTAGTCGGAGGGGGGCTGCCATCCTTCGGAAGAGGAATATCGCTGGACACCGCATCGAACTGTGTGATTCTAGTGCTTCGCGTTCCACCTTACGCGCCGGAAGGATGCCAGCCAGAATGGCAGGCCCAGTTGCGCTAGTCTTTCAAGGGGTGCGCTGCTCGTAGTGAAAAGGAAAGCTTGCACGGACATCCTCCGCTCCTTCTCCTCCTCCTCCTCCCCGTCCCCCGTTCCTCCTCCTACCCTTCCTCCCCTCCCTCCATCTCTTCCTTCTCGTTTTCCTCCTCGTCGTTGCCATCCTCTCCATCCTCCTCTCCCCCATCATCGTCATACTCGTCGTCGTCGGCGTCGCCATCACCAGCAGCAGCATCATTGTTATTACAATTAGTACTATCATCCCCTCCTCCTTCTTCATCCTCATCCTCCTTCTCCTCCTTCTCCTCCTCCCTTCCTTCAATCTCTTCATCCCCTTTCTCCTCCTGCTCCTCTTCCTCCGTCCTCCCTTCTGGTTCTCCTCCCTCTTCCCTCCTCCATCCCGAGGGCCACTGAGCGGCCCCGGTAAATTGGGTGCAGTCTCGCGTTGCGATCGCCTCCGTCGCAAGTCTGGCCTCATGCACGTCGTCCCGCGCCGCGAGGCGCGTGGAAGACCGCGGTCCCATGGTGTCCGCACCCAGTGTCTCCTACATCTTCGAGTCGATTTGCTCGTTCACTTCCAAGGTCGAGGCCGAGCTGCACATCGGTGGCTGGGACCAACAGGACAAGGCCGGTTGAGGCCGAGCGCCCAGCGCAAGGATTCCGTCTCGTGCGACGAGGTGGGCGAGAAGTACCCCCAGTTCCAGACCGACGCCGTGATGTACGCCGCGTCGTGCGCTACGAATTGCTTGGGCCCGTCGACCAAGGTCATCGACGGGCATGATTTCCTGATCGTCGACGGGGAGAAGCTCCAGTTGCTCCCCGAGTGGAAGGCCGAGCTGTCCATCGGTGGTTTGGCCAAGAAATTCACCATCAGTGCCCCACCGAAGAGTGCCGTCCGGTTCGAGGCAACAGGCGAGCACCAGACCGAGCACAAGACATTCGACACCGGCATTTCGAACGCGTCTTGTTTCATCGGCGTCAGGGCCAAAATAATCATCAGAAGTGCCCAGCAAAAGGCATCCCTACCGTTCGACGTGGCCAGCGAGAACCACACCGAATGCAGAACCTCCAGCACCGTGGGGTCCACAGCGTCGTGCACTACGAACTGACTGGCCTCGCTGACCAATGTGGTCGACGAAAAGAACTTTCATGGCATGGGCGTCGCGGGGATCTCGCTTATCGTACCCCCTAACTCGAAGATTTCTCGTTGGGGAGGAAAATCTGCAAGTGAGACGGAGTCCGTCGACTCAGTTACATTTGGGTTAATGGGCTTCATGCGTTTCGGTGTGCCAGGGGCATCATGGCTTGGGTAGCTCTCACGTGACCCGCTGGGCCAAAGGCCCCCGAGGTGTGCTGGCCTCGCGGTCTGGGTCCTGACAGGCGAGGCATTCGAAGCCCGCCCGCCCATCCCTGTGTGCTCATATGTACTTTGAGTCGCCACGGCGGCGTGCCCGTCTTCCTGGGGAGTGTGGAGTTGGTGCGGGGGGGCGTCTCGCAAGGGGGCTCTCTCGCCCGCCGCACCGGCAGCGTCTTGGCTGCTGACCCAACGCTGGCGGGCCCACTCCACCAGAGGCGAAGGCAGTAGATTTTCCCTCTGCTCTCGCCGCCGAATCCTTCTTTTGAAGGTGGCTCGCCGTCGACAGAGTCCTGCCGGGCAGCCGTCCCGCAGTCAGCGCATCTCGCCAGCATGACATCGTGCCTAGGTCTGGACAGGTATTCGTTTTTGTGTCAGCCAGTTGTCGTTCAGCTTCGGACTGTCAGATTCGGATACACGCAGCTACTTGCGATTATTCGTAGGGTGAGGGCTTGATCGCTTCAGGACAGCCATCGTGTGTAGGCATGGTCAGGCTTGCCCTCGTCTCGTCTTCACTGTCGTTCCCGAGTCTTGTATACAGGTGGTCGTCTAAGCAGTTAATGAGTTTGGGCACGCTCTGCCAGCAGGCAAAGGCATTCTGCCTTCTTCGCGATTGAAGGCGAGGCAGAGTGGAGGCGCTTGTCCAGGCTTCCCTCTCGGGCTCCCTCCGTACTTTCGTTCTCCCCCTCATTGGGGCCCTTCCTTGTCTAGCGAGCCTCCCCCTCGGCCTCTGCACCGGTTCCCCTAGCACGGTTCCTGCGTATGGTGCCTCTTATGGTGTGAGAATCGGATGGGCCCCCTGTGACCCCCCAAAGGTGTCGGCGTTTGGATTGCTGCCACCGTGCATTGTCAAGCCCTGTCCTTGTCGTGTCGTGCCCTCTGCGCTGGTGGTCTCCCCCGCTTCCCGACCCGCCCCAACGCATTCGGTTGCGAGCTCTCTTGTGAGCATCGCTGCGTTTTGCCGTTGATCCCACTTTTTTTGTTTCTGTAGCTTGGCTTTTCCGAATTCAGAGCCCAAACTTGTTTACCCAGTTTGGGGCTTATCCAAGACCCTTCTCCTGCCTGGCGGGGATTCCCCCTGCCAATCCGCTCCCCCGTATATGTGGAGCTACCACTGAGGCAACCGATGTATTGTTTCATGGTTGCGAGCTCTCGTGCGAGCACCTTGCAAAACATTATAAAACACAACCGCGCGTCATACGCCTGCGTCCGACCGACCTCCATCCTCTTTGGCACACGTGCTCAAGTGGAACATCGTTCCCCGCTTGGGCCGATACTGACGGCGTTCTGTCGTGATCAATTTTAGACCACACTCGCGGCCTTTGGCCATCGCACATCTCCGAGAGCGTCGCGTGCTGTCACTGTGACACATCCGCCTGCGTGATGGCGCTCTTTTCGTCTGTCCACACAGATGCGTGCTCCTCCTCCTCGCGCGGACGCCAGTGCTTAACGCGTGAGCGCTCACATGGCCGCGTCCACGGCCCTGCAGCTGGACCTCACGCACACGCGGCCCAGCCAATGTCCACAGCTGCCGACGCATCCTCTGAGCGCACGCGGAGTCAACGAGCTGCCGCGAACGCCTTCGTGGAGTCGCCCATCTCTGCGACGCTCGACACCCCGCTGAACTGGACGGTGCAGCAGGACCCGTTCCTCAAGCTGCTGATGTAGACAGTGCGTTTGTTATCGCCTCTGTTCCCCGGAGGCAACACCCGCAACCAGCGGCCTGGAGCTGGTCCGCCGCATCCGCTTGCGAGTGGCGATTCGTTGGCGGAGCCTACCTGCACCACGACAGTCTACGTCCGCACGGCCCTCCTCACCAGTCCAGGACGCGGCGACATCCTGCACGAAGAAGTGCCCGCACGACGAGATGTTTTCCGTCTGCATGGCACTCCTCGTGAGGCACCTGTTGCCGCTGCTCACGGACCCTTCCCTCACGAAGAACACGAACCGACAACACGATCTCCAGCTGCAGGGCCCTCCTCGCGAACCCACTGCTGCCGCGACTCGCGGCGATCTCCTGCACAAGCGCCCGCACGGAGCCGGCCGCGCGCGGCGCTCCACTGAAGGGGCTTCTGGCTGCCGCTGCTGGTGATCTCGATGTCCCTGCGCGCGCACATGCTGAGACCCGAAGTTGCGGAACAAATGCAACATCTGCAACAATCACGACCTGAGCTTTGGACCCCATCTTCCTGCGGCCTGTGTTCGAGCCCGATGAACCTGTGATGGTCCCGGGACCCGAAAGCGCCGGGTGCGGAAAAATTGCAAGGCCCGGTGGTGGAGTCGTTGATGTTGCCGTCGCTAGCCGTGCTCCTCGGCCCCCGCGTTGTCACAGCTCGAGCGGCAGGAAAGGCAGGGACGGGAGGGGCTCATTGCTGTCGATGTTGGGGGCCCTTCTCTGCCAGACGGAGGCGTCGATCCTCGACTCCGCGGCCGATGCGGTGCGGAAGTCCATGACCCTCGAAGGAAAACCGCACACACGTAATTTCTCGGAGCTCCGCGCGGAGTTCTTGGATCGGCGCTGCGCCCTCCGGGCGGCGCCTCTAGCGCCATCCCTGACGCGCTCCGCGCGCCAGGGAGGGGGTCCAGCGCCGATCCAAGGAATCCGCGCGCGGCGCTCCAAGAAAATAGTGGTCATGCCGTTATTTGTGTCACTATAGACCCGCGTGGCCAGGATTGGTCGCGCCCAGACCGGCGCAGTGCGCCCGCACTCTCGCGAGTCTTGGCACGCGGTGCGGCAACGACAGCTGCTCTACCGCAGGAAGCAATGGCCCTGCTTCGCCGCATGGGCCTGGCACCGTTTTCGGCCGGTCCGAGACGAGGTGCCCTCTGCGTCGCACGTCGCGCACTCCCATCATTCAGCCACCTTTCATCGAGCCCGCTTGAGCCGCTTCCCAGCTGGAGGCCCTGGCTACGCCCAGGCTGCCATCCCAGTCATCCCGCCCCCCCTAGCGCGCCGCGTCCATGCTTCCCCGCCTTTGCTGCCGCCTCGCCGCGTGCCACTGAGGCTTCACATTCTAACTACATACACACTGCTCTGATGGAGCCCGCGCCCACCGTCTTGCTCTGATAATCCTCCCCCCTCCTCCTAGTCCTCTCTTCATCTCCCTGCTGTCCCTCCCCTTCTACCCTGTGTCTCTCCTCGTCCCTTCCTTCTCCCCCTGTCCTCCTCATGTCTATCCTCCCGTTCTTCCTGTCCCCCCGTTCCTCCCCCTTCTCCCTTTTCTCATCCCCCGCTTCGTTCTCACCCTCATCACCCTTCCCCCTCATCCCCCAGGGCGGGGGGGCGGGGGAGGGCGGATCGAATCGCATTGCCCTGGTGGATGCCCTTAGGCATTCTCCCCGAACTACCTCTTCATATTCCTCGCCACGCTGTTCATGTTCGTCTGCACCTCGCCTGTGCTCCTGCTCATGCTCGGAGGTGTCGGCGGCGGGTGGACGCACGCGATGCGCAGCGAAGGTTTCAGGAACAGGCTGGGGCTGCTCCAGAGATTAATCTTCCTCCTACCTCCTCCTCCGCCCCCTCATAACCTTCCCCCTCCTCATCCTCGTCACCATCATATTCCTCCTTATCGTCGTCGTCCTCGTCCTTCTCCTCCTCATCCTCCTCTTATTCCTCCTCCTCCTACTCCTACTCCTCTTCCTCCTCCTCCTCCTCCTCCTCCTCCTCATCATCATCATTATCCTTATCATCGTTCGCCTTCCCCCCACCTCCTCTCCTTCTCCTCTTCCTCTTCCTGCTCAGATTCGTCTTCTGCCTTTACCTGCTCCTCATCCTCCTCCTCCTCCTTCTCCTCCTTCTCCTCATCTTCCTCCCTCTCCTTCTCGTCCTCCTCATCTTCTTCCTCCTCCTCCTCCTCGCTTGTTTCTGGAAGAATAGCCGCTTCTTGACCAACAGCTGCATCCCAATCCGAAAAAGGCTACAAAAGCTCAGCGATGTTGCTGGAGGCATTATCAGAGCCAGGGCTGCATCGTGCCCCCCCCTGCCAGGCAACGGAGACTTTTTTGGACAGAAGGCAGTCGAAGCTTTTAGCGTGGATGCTCCGGCTTCGCTGCAAGCCGAACGAAACTGCACAGCAGTTTTGCCTGCGCAGAAACCGCGCGGTCAAACAGCTGGCGGCCACGAAATGGTCGAAGTTTCATTTGTACTCGTGTTTGTCCTGGCATTCACACCTCCAGAGGCACCCAGACAGCTGGGCAGCCAGAGCGTCTAGCGAGCAGGACCACGACTGGGTCAGCTCACAAAGGCGCGTGTGGGTGTCGGCATCTGGCAGGTCCTCTAAAACTTTTTCCAGAAAAGGCCGGGGCAGGGTCCACCGCTGGGACCAATCGGGCTGGACTTCCCGGTTTAACCCGGCGGGGACGCGGGACCCCAAAATCATCTGGAATTTAGCGGACGAATTTTTGCGCAGTCTCGGTTGCAGAGGCAGACTTGGAGAGGCTTGCCCCTGAGAGCTTGTGATACCGGGGAGTCTCCGCCTCCAACGGGCGTGTCATCATCATCATCATCCTGCTCTTCCTCCTTCTCCTCCTCATCCTTCTCCTCCTTCTCCTCCTCCTCCTGCTCCTCTCCCGTTCCCTTCTGTCGCCTCAGCGTGCATCCTGCTTCGCCACTTGCCATGTCATCTTCCCCTCGAACAGGCCGTGGCAGCTCCAGATAGGTGGGGTATCGGTGCCGCTCGGGTCCAACGCAAAGATGGCGATTTTGTCGTTGCCGACTCTCTTCAGCTGGGAAGCGAAAAGGGGCCTGCCCTCCCAGGGGAGAGGTTGGCATGCAAGAGGGGATGGGCTGGAATAGGAGGAGGAGGAGGGGGAGGAGGAGGAAGGGAAGGGGGAGGGGGGAAAGAGGAAGAGGGAGAGGGAGTGCATGGAGGAGGAGGCTGAAGAAGGGCACGAGGAAGTTTCGTGGGGACCTGTGAGGAGGGGACTCAGGACGGGAAGGCTCACTGCAGCATCATTGATGCTCCGTGGGTTTATTATGGGTCTCCTCATCCTCATCCTCCTCTTGGAACCGCCTGGAGGAGGAGGAGGAGGAGGAGGAGGAGGACAATGCAAAGGACGGGGAGTAGGTTGAGGAAGGACCAGAAGATTCGAGGACAAGAAAAGCGAGGAGGCAAGTTAGCCAGGTCGAAGGAGGCAGCTGGCACCGCCCACTCCCACCGTCCTCCCTACAAAACACGACCCAAGTCTGGTACACGGTACAACTTGATCTTGGAAATGTCGCGAGTTTCCACCTAGCGAACCGAAGGCGTTCGCACGCGGTCCCGCTCAGACGTCCTGGCGAGAAGGAACACACAGGCCGCGCATGGGCGGGAGCGGAACTTCCAGAAAATCATTGCACGGTGTTGCGGCGAGGGTACTATCCAATTGTTTGTGGCAAGTCCAGCCACCGTGCCAGCCCAGCATTGTTGGTGGCGCTTGTTCGGGGGAGCCACGGGGGACCGGAACGTGTGACACCTTTCGTCCCGATGTCTGAAGAGCTCTCATGGAGTATATTTGGGCCGTCTTGAGGCTGCCTGAGGTTCTTGTGGGTCCGTCTTAGAGGTCCCTTGGTGCCTTTATGGGCCGCCTTGGGGTCATATTGAGCCGCCTTGGGGCTCTCTTGGCCAGTTTTGGGCTTCGCGCGGGCACATGCCTGGTGTGGGTGGCGAAGCATGCGCCGCGCTGGAGCAGCACTGCCACGTTGACACGAAACCTCAGCGGCGGTTTGGCGAGATCGGCATGCCGCCCGCTCGGGCGTGGCACCGCTGCCGCGTGCTGGCATCCTTGCGAGCGAAGATCATGAGCCACGTTCCCACAAAATCTGCACGGAGCTTGAGCGAGGGCAACAAGTCGCACGCTCGCGTGCGGCCCCGCTCCCAATGACTGGGCGAGTGCAAAATATGCGCCCCGCTAAAGCAGCAGCGCTTTCTCAGGCGAAATGTGCGCGGCGCTTGGGCGAGAGCTATGTTCGCCTGGTTGCCCGCGACCCCGTTGCCGACGAATCGGCGACTGACAAGTGTGCGCCGCGCCCGAGCGGGAGCTCAACTCTCCTCTAGAAGAATGAGTTCGTCGCCGAGGCGACAACGAGATTCCGCCCCTTCCCGCGCAACGCGTGCTCCGTCCCACTCCCGCCACGCATTTTGCAAAGTCGACGATGAAGCGGCAATGTTGAGAAAAAACGTCGAAGTCGCATCGTTCTCGGACGTGCAGATTCGAACCTCTCTGGATGTGGCGGCCATCGGCGCCGGCTAGGTGGCAGGGCGGGTGTATACATTATTAAAGGATGAAGCTAGCCAGATTGGACGACTCAGCGGGCCTCGCGCATTCCACCTTCACTCCCATAGTCCCATAATCAATGGAGGAACCATGTGATATTGGGGCTGGAACGCGTTCCCACGAATGGAAGGCGCTCTTCAGACGACTTGGCGAGGGGAAAAGCCGCGCACGAGTGGGAGAGAATTTTTAGCAGAATGCTTTTGCGCAACAGTGCGGCGAGAGCACCATTGAACCATTTCTCGGGCGACCAAGTGTCCGATGAGCGCGACGAAGAAGAAGCACGCGCCGCGCCGAAATTGCCCTGTCACGTTCACGCGCAGACTGCGCGGTGCCTGGGCGAGGCCAGCATTTTGTCCGCCCTCACGCGGCCCCGCTGCCGCTGCCGTTGTCATACAATCCGGCGAGAGAGGCATGCGCCGCGCCCACGCGGGCAAAGCTTGGGCGAAGGCGACGCGTCGACCGCTGGCGCGCGGCCCCGCCCCCAACGACTGGACGAGGAAGTCTGCGCCGCGCCCCAGCGGGAGCGCCACACTCGGGCGAAACCTGCGCGGAGCCGGGGCGAGAGCGACAGCTTCGTCCGCTCGCGCGTCTGGCGGGCGGAAAAAGCACGCCGCGCCCAACCGCGGCGGGAAAAAACGGAAACTGCAAAGCCGTGTTGCAGTCAAAATTGTGGATGTTGTATTGCTAATGGTAGGTAGGTTGGAAGGGCCCGGATGGGGCGGCGATCGACTGGTTAGGTGGTCCAGTCGGAGTAGATAGCAATAAGATTAGCAATACTGATCAGGAGTAAGGCTAAGAATCGGAAGGGGGAGGAGAGCGTAGGGGCAGGAGGAGGAGGAGAACCAGGGGAGGATGGGGATGCTTCGATTTTGGCAAATCGGTGCGCGTGTACCAGTTTCGCCCTCATGTGTGTATCTATGTGTGTACACATACATACATGCATGCATGCATGTATACATACGTACATACATACAAACGTACATGCATACATACATACATACATGCATACAGGCATACCATTATAAATGGAAATTGTATATACGTGCATACATACATACATACATACATGCATGCATACATACAGACAAGCAGGCAGACAGTCGGACACACAGACAGACAGGCATACATACAGACATACAGACATACAGTCGTAAAGCCATACATACATACAGACAGATACGCGTATATGCACACGTGCAAGCAAGCAAACAAACAAACATACAGATATACATACCTACATACTGACATACGTACATGCATGCATGCATGCATACATACATGCATACATACAAACAGGCATACCTACAGACATATACAAATACATACGTACCTGCATACATGCATACATACGTATATACGGACATGCGTACATGCAGACAGGCAGACAGACCTACACACATACACATCTACAGGGACGCATACGTACATACAGACGTAGAATTGCATACATGCATGCATGCATACATACATACGTACATGCATGCATACGCATACGTCTACACATAGCAACAGTAGATTTACATATAAAGAGATAGAACGATGGAGCTGTCGTTCCAAACACGTCGAGGTCCACTTGTGATATGCTTGCGCTTCGCCCGCCAAAAAAGTGGTTGACGCCTTTGCTAGAGTGGCAAATCGGCTCCGCCGCATTCCCGGAGCAGGAGGCCCCAGATCGCACATGGAGGATGAGGAGGACCTCCTTCTCCCCTCCTTATCCTCCTCCTCCCCCTCCTCCTTCTCATTCGGTCTTCATGTTTATTATTCTGCCCGAAGCTTGAAATCATCTGCGGCGTACGGTCGTCTGCGATGTGCCGACAACGTGGCGTCCACCTCAGAACGAGTTTCACATTGGTTGCGCTGGCTTGCATTTTCGCATTCGAACTGCCCGCGGGGTTCATGGCGCGTGGGGCTGTGCATACCAGAGGGGTCACGCGGTCGCCGCGTCGCTGTTTCAGTGTGTAAATTACCAGCGGGATTGGCGAAAAATATGCACAGAGCCAGAGTGGGAGCGCCATCGTCTGGAAGGATGCGTGGCGAGTGGGTGGGAGCAACTTGGGGTTTTCTCTCGCTCATGGCCCCGCTTCCAATGAGCTTGACGGACAAAAAAAAGCCAGGCCCAAGAGGGAGCACAATTTTCATAACAAAGTCTACGCTTCGGCAAGAAAGATATTTTGCCTTCTCGCCTTCTCGCGCGCAACGCGTGGCGCGGCCAACTCCTGTCATGTATCCTGCAACGTCGACGGCAACACGTCACGCTGGGAATGCAGTCGTCAATTGAAGTTTTCTTTTTAGCGGACACAACGGGTGGTCCCACTATTTGAGAGGAGCAGGAATAGGTAGCAACGAGGGGGCGGAGGAGTAGGAGGAAGACGAGGAAGGGTAGGAGTGGGAGGCGGAGGGGTAGTAGAAATAGGTGGAGACGAAGAGAAGAGGCGGGAGGAGGAGCAACGGAGCACAAGGAGGAGGAGCAACGGAGCACAAGGAGGAGGAGGAGGAGGAGGGAGTTGCGGGAGCAGGGCAAGGGGGAGGAGGACAGATGTAGGCCCCCTTTCAGCTGCTTCCCCCCGTCCTGCATTTCTTCATGGGCCCAGTGCTCTGGTCAGCCGCATTGTGCAGCGGCGGGTTGAACTTGG